CGCAAGTAAAAAAAAAAAAATAAAAAAAAAGAACGAGAAAAAATAGAGTCGTCGCATGAGTTTTATGACGGTTGTTTCAAAATATTTTTTCAACAACGTACGTGCGTCGCGTATGTGATTTATTCCCGACGAAAATGTTCGAGTTGAATAAAAATACATTTTACGCGCGTAAAGCGTCAAGGCAATTTTGCTAATGTACCATTTGCATCGGTAATAAAAGATCAATGCCAATGGTATTTATAGTTTAGTTGCAAAACCCTCGCGTTTCTAATGATAATACTTTACGGAGTATTAGAGTGCTCAAATGTGTTTGAATATTCTGGAAGTGCGCCGTGATGCGTGTCGTATAAATTGCGCGGCCTCGCGCTCATGACAGATGAGTCTCGTAAGCGTCGTTATAAAGCTATGAACACGAAAGCGTTTCGAGAGAAGCGATACGATACACAAACATACCACTCTGATTAAGCGGCACCAAGACTAAACCGTGCCGCGATAACTGAGACGTTTGAATGATTTAAGATTCAGCGCTAATGAGATTGCACCGTGACTGGCATTGAACGTGTTTAATTATTTCGAAGAACGTGTTTATTTATCTCGAAGCAAGTGAGATGTTGTTTATCTTATTTTTGCATCGCCTCCCGCGCGTTTTTCGTTCGCCTCGATTTTCGTAATTTTAAACACTCTTCGCCTCGCGACGGACGGAATTCTCCGTCCTTCCTTCTTTTCCAATTTAGACGATTGAATTTGCGATCGTTCGTCCGTTCGTTCGCAATCGGACGAAACATAAAGCGATTTTGTTGAAACTCTGTTGGCTCTTATATTTAGCACCCCACTTGGAATTTATCTGATTTCTCTCCTTTAATAAACACAGATACCATTTCCCAAAGGATGATTTGTCGGAACGTCGTCCGCGCGCATCGCCGAGCGACGGAAGGCGCTTCCCTTCCGATCGGCACACTTTCCCGGGATTAAATACACCTTCGATTCTTGTGTGCAGAAATTTTTATAAGCTAAAACAAACGTTACTACTCTGGTAACGTAGACCGCCGAGCGGGATATTTTTTTTTATATTATACTTTCAAGTTACGATTTCCATATGAGAGAGCCGTCGAGTTTACGCCCGGATTGCAGCGGCGCGCACGACGACGACCCCGCCGGCAATAAAACGAGACTCTCGTTGCCTACATAATTTATCCGATGCTGTGCAAGGGACTCCTAATATTCATCCCGTATACGACAGCCATTGTTCTTCGTTATGCGAAATCAATTTAACGCGTCGCTCGAAGATCGAGCATCGCGACTACCCCGCCGGCTAATTATTTATCGATCGATCTCCGCGAAAACGCGATATATACATACATATATACATATAGACACACGTACCCTATATAGCATTACCCGGGTAATTCCAATCTCCATTGTTCACCGGTAGTAATATACCGGTAGTAATATACCGGTTAATATATTCAGAGATAAATACGTTTCAATAAATATTTCTCTGTAATGTATAATTAATGAAATGCGATATACACAATTGTGGACACAAAATATCGCAATTCACTCTACGATTACCAATTCGTTGTGCAGTTTTGTGTGCATCTATTTTCTTTCGATTAATCTTCCGAATAAGATGCGTAACAATATCAACTCGACAAAAAAAAAAAAAAAACAAATCCGTGACGGATGAGAGAAAGAATCGTTCTAACGGAAACGTGGAAACGGTCGCGCTTTCGAATAAACAAGTCGCCGTTTTGTATGTAATGTTACACGATCGTCGAGATGTTCTTTCTTTGTGAGCGGCACAAGAGAAGATAAGAGCCGCGTAATAATACGTCAAATCGACTATATGGCTTTCTCGTCTCGTTCAGATTCTTCCTCTTTGCTCATTGTCGTATATCGAAAACCTTTTTATTTTTCCTCTCTCTCCCCGGCCTCTCCGACCAATGTGTGCACTTCTCATGTTATACGCGCGGTTATAAAATGCGCATATAACTAATGCGATAACGCATCCATCATCTTGTCACACGACAAGCGTGTATTCCATGCATCGACGAGTTGATCAAAATCCGATTAAGAATTACAAGCTTTGTGCTACAGCGACGGGACACGGCAAAGAAAATATTTATTTCGATATAACTATATATCGCGCAAAAGAGATGTAAATTTAATTTGCGCGCAATTCCCGGATCTCTCTTAACCATTTTTTTTTAAATCCTTTCGAATTTTCCGCGAATTATTGACAACGCTATCCAACAGGTTGGTGATTCGATTGTTACTTAAAAATATATTTTTAAACACGACACATAATGGCCGCGTTCAGCAGAACAACTGTCGTCTTGTTAACACGTTGATTTGTTGATTTGTTCTAAAAGAAAAGAATCGCGCATCATTCGATTGCTACAAAGCAGTTTGTTCTGCCGAACGCGACGGAATATACATACGTCGCGTGCATATTGATCTCTGATCTTAGTTAAAAACAAAATAAACGCCGACATCTGAGATACGTCGAGTTACGTCGCTTCATTTGCTACTCCAATTCCCCTAGGATTAATCTGAACGTGCCCGAACACACGAACACTTGAGGTTTGACATAATCGATATTAGCAATTTCGACGGAGCACATCCTAATCTTCGGCCCATTACTTCTTCATCAAGCGTCGAGCGTCTTATCCTTCGAGAAGATATCCCTTGGCCCTCTCGAGCGAACGCTTACGGAAATCCCGCGACGGGAGTTCCACACCTTTGGGAATACTAACTCCGTTCGCGAAAACTCATCGACGTACGTCTTCAGCGAGAACGAAGCGAATCCGCGATAGATATCTCTCGAGACAAATTTTGACGTAAAATTTGCTTCGCAAGTGACAGGCAGACACACACATTCGTCGAATTGGCAAATAATCGACATTTTCTCTCTGTTTCTCCCCAGATACGCGCTGTGCTACCTTGGAGAACGGAGTCTTCAGTCGTCGATGAGTCGGACGAAGAATATCGAGTGTATTGCCGAGAGTGGTTGAACGTGGAGTAGGCGAGAGAGCGCAGCGGCGGCACGTGAGACGAGTGTCGTCGCTCGAGACACTTGTTGCACGCCGACCGTCCCTTAAAGAGGGTCTGTCGGCGTCAATATCGGGCCACGGGCATTCTCCGAGCGCGAGACAGGGAAACGGATCCTCCGTTCGTCGTCGTCGTCGTCGTCGTCGTCGCCGTCATCGTCGTCGTCGTCGTCGTCGTCGTCGTCGTCGTCGTCGTCGTCGTCGTCGTCGTCGTCGTCGTCGTCGTCGTCGTCGTTGTGATCGGTGCGAGTGCCAAGTGCAAGTTGCGCAATTACGTGCGTGTTGTGGCAAACGCGCCGCGTGATCGGGTCGCGCGTGACCGACGACGCAACATGTCGCGGGACCGGATGGTGGAGGACGACCGCGTGGCGACCGACGCGTGCCTCGTACGCTTGTCGATCACCGTTCGCAAAAAGTGCGGTCGTTAGCGCGCGTTCGGCCGACCGGAAGCGACGTGCTCGACGAGAAGTGTCGCGTGGCATGCCGCCGATCGTCGCGCGACGACGTTCCACGGTGGTCAGCAGCCGTCGTCGGTGGTCCGTTTCGCGTGTTCGGTGTGCGCAAACGCTCGGCCAGGTTGAATAACAATCGGGTGACAACGCGAACGAAGCGAGCCAGAACCCGGAAGCCGGAGTCTCGCGTGGATCGGATCGATATCGCATCGGGGATCAAGAAGAGAAGAGCGATCATGTGCTGCGCTCGGTGACACCGGTCGCGATTGTGGGCGGCGCTACCGTTGGCGGTATACGTAGCTAGCGGAGAGCTGAATTATCACTGCGGTGCGGCTATCACTACGTGGTAAGTTGCTATGTAATATATCTAGCATATAATATAGGGGGTTGACTTTCCGCTTTATTCGAGTAATCTGGCTTATCGGTTCTTCCTGGTGTGGGGACGGGCTGGGGGTCAAAGACCTTTAACCCCTCGTAATCCTTCTCCTAAACCTTAAAGGGTCTTTTTTTACTTTGACCACATATTCGAGTGCGTGCGGACAGATAATCGATAATATCTCAGTATGCGTGTTGAAGTATTTTACGGGAAAAAAACCTTTTGATATCTGCGCGCAAAATACCCCATGGACAGTTTTTCTTCCTTCCTTTTCTTGCCAAAGTACGACATGTACGAAAAGATGGAGAGAACAGTTTATCATATATTACTAAGAGTTATATAGACTTTCTAAGCTTACGGCTTCTCCTCCTTCACAGTCAAAATCAATAAGACGCACGGGCATAGACCAGAGGAAATATGTGCATCGAACCTTTTTTTTTTCATCATTCATCATAAACGTCAGAAACCTGAAAGTAGGTAAATTCTTATCTCAAGCGAGTTCAACTACCGCGTGTAGCCCCAGGCGGAGACTGGCAAGTTTCAATTTTATAGACGATTTATTCGTCTGAAACATCGCATATATCTTAGCAAGTAGGGATGAATGTAGTCTACACAGTCAGTCGAAGCCTTTCAGTAGTCGAAAACTTCAATCGTTCCGATCGCTTATCGACAGATTCTTGATTACCGCAAACGAGATTAGAGAAACAGATATATATATATATATACCTACAGCAAATATATCGTATTACCTATATATAAGTTCTCTTCTCATCGACTCACTCAGTACAAACTCAGCGCACAACAACATATCTCATCCCCGCTAATCAAACGTCAATTTAAACACGTAAAACGGTTGTTTAAAAAACAACTTTCTCAACATTCCCATCCTTATTTTACGCGATACAAAACTATCATATTGTAAAAAGTGTGAATTCTTTTTTGCAACTCTCGTCATCAAAGAGAATTTACGAGGCGGCGGTCGTTCGCGCAAACGAAACGTGACGATTAAAACGCAAACTTGCTTGTGCAAATTTTCAGGTGGACATCCCCGGGCGTTTACCCGGGTGGTTTCGGCTAGGACAAGGGAAAACGAAAACCGGAAGGCTGGATCACCTCCGTGGAATGTCCTCGGGCGCCAAGCGACTGGTGCAGTCGCTTAGGGGCCGTAGCGGGGGCAGAAGTGCCGGCGGCGGTCGTTCCGGCGCCGGTGCCGGGGAGGACTGCGGCGTCGGCGGCGGCGGTGCCAGCACCAGCGCGACGAGGCTCTACTACGACAGCGGGCACGAGCTCGACGAGATCTCGGTGATCGGGGCTGCCGTGAGGGGCAACGAGGGGCTGACGACGCCCACCACGCCGTGCCACTACAGGAATATCAAGTACGGCAGCGGACAGACGATTTGCAGCATCGCCGGATTGCCCGCCCCCGCCGCGCCCACGCACAAAACACAGACCGGTAAGTCCGATGGCAATCTTCTTAGATGTTGTGTCGGCGATGTTCTACACAAGCCGACTCTGGCGGCTTTACTTCGGGGATGAATGGTTTTTGTGTAAAGCGGTCTCAACGCTTTGACAGCATTTGTCAAAGCTCTATCTCGTACTTTTCAGTATTTTATTTTATTTGCGATGCTTTTGCAATTTCACAATATAACATCGAAACATTTACGTGAATTGAATCGCGAGGGAGCTTTAATATTTATTATTTTAATCCGGAACAACGCGGTGTGAAATTATGTAAATGCGCACTGCAAATAGCAAAAACAAACGGCGAATAAACTAATTGTGCGGTGCGAACCATTAATTTTTATTACAGCGCGCGTATTCTCTTCTCGCGCGTTCGGACAATCGCAGAAGTCGCCGCTAATTCCGGTGATTTTCGACGAACTGCAACGCAATCGGCGCAACGCGCGATATTTATTGACACACAGCGCGGAGAATATTCGCGCGCTACATAAAAAATCAGGAATCCGAAATTCTTCCCCAAAGCGAGCAACAACGACGCCTCTCTTATGTTCTTCGTACTTTCCAATCTTCTCGCGTAACTTATTACGCTCCATATAAACAGCCGTAAATTCTCGTTCGCGTCTCTAAGAAGCGAGGGTTTTCACTTAGAAAACGCAGACTTTGCTCTTTCTCTCTCTCTCTCTTTCTACTTATATACTCTCTCCTCGCGAGCACTTTTTTAATCTTCGCGCTTTAAGAAAAAAGCAGCGCGCCGGCCGGCCTTTTCTAGCACTTTTTTTTCTCTCGAGCAACAAGAATCCTTTCCCGGTTTTCCTCGGCGCGCGGCCTTTATCGCGACCTCACGTCTATAATTCCGCACGGCGGGACATCTTGTGCCCGGGACTTTCACGACTACAACCACTGTATATACGTAAAACCATATACGTAACTACGTCTCCAACTGTGCGAGAAAGACTCTCTTTTGTCCTTCGACATCCTCTGACGATACGAAAACGCAGTCCGGGTTTTTTTTTGCGCGCCGCTTGGCAAGAGCTATCCGGTGAAATTGCGTCTCTTGATCACGAAACGCGCTCCCGAGGTATCAAATGACAAATGTACTTTCCGCTTGTATCGTCGTGACTGCAGATCTCGTCCTAACTGCTCGCGAGAGATATTTATCAAAGAGCGCAACGCGCGGAGAAACCGTGATAAGAGATACGCTCGCGTCCCGCGGCTGCTCGCTTCTTCTCTCGAGCACATTAATCTTTTCCGCTTGTCTCGAAACTCGAACGAGTCTTAATGATCACGCGAATAATCGAGAGCTGGGGAACTAGAGTTTTTTTCTTTCTTTCACATTTACTTCGTAATTATCCGATTGAAACGTGCGTGCGAAAAAAAAACGCGCGCGAGGAAATGAGACTATAAATATAACACGTGATGGTGACCATGCGATTATCGTTGGGAAGAATTACGAAAGATTGTCTACGAAGAGGGACGAAAGTGCGATTCTTATTACTCTCGCGTGTCTCCCTTGCGGGATATTGTAGAAGAGCAATATAAAATTAAGATCGTCGTTAAATGATTGCGGCGATACGTTGACTGTCGATAATGTTGAGCAATCGTTAGAAGCTTCGTCTTCAATATCTTTGATCGTAAACGCGAAAAGCTTTATATCTCTACCTGCCTCCCTCGTCGGATCTCGCCAGGGACGACGGTACGACCGGGGACGACGATAATACTAATCCGCTAATCGACAGTCATCGGCATCGGCAGCATCGGTGCCGATGATGGTATCGCCGGAAATTTACGAGCAACGGATTTCGATAATGGCCGATCTCTGATTCGTAGACATCTCCATTCTCTTGACCTAATTACCGACGCGTACGAGAGAGAGAGAGAGAGATCGATAAAACCGCTACTTTTCCATTCTTTGAAACATCGTGAACAAATCGCTCAAAAAAAAAAAAAAAAAAAAAAAAAACGCAAAATAACATGCCTAAACACCGTCCGAGTGTTGCCTGACGCTGACAGTGGCTTAA